GGGAAATTGAAAGCACCTCTGATTGGTTGCAAAAAGCATGCTAGTGTAACTATGTAACTGCACTTCAGCCTCTGATAGTGGGCCACGTCTTCATTTGCATAGAAGTGTGACCTTTGTAACTTCAGCCTCTGATTGGCTGCATTCCATAACCAATCAGACTGATCGCGGGCCACCACTTCATTTACATGAGGCGAGCACCAAGTGGCCAATGGGAAGCCTCTAGTGGGTTACTGGACCAGGAAAGATTCTGAATTGGGGCCCTTGAGCCGCTGCTCCAGCCAGCTCCCGCACTGTGGAGTGTACTGTCATTTCAGTAAATCTCTGCTTTCCTTCTTTCGTTGCTTCATTCTTTCCTTGCTTTGCTGTGCACTTTGTCCAATTCTTTGTTCAAAACGCCAATAACCTGGACAACTTGTAGTCAAGACCCTTTTTTTTTTTTTAAACAGACACAGTGTCTCACTCTGTTGCCCAAGCTATTCTCCTGGGATCAAGCAATCCTTCTGCCATGGACTCTCAAAGTGCTGGGATTACAAGCGTGAGCCACTGTGCCCAACCTATTTTCAAGTAATATGTCTTAAACAGTTTTCTGTGACCTATTTTTGGTCATGTTATATAGCCTTTAAAAATGTATGCCGGATGTGGTGGCTCACACCTGTAATCCCAGCACTTTGGGAGGTCGAGGCAGATGGATCACCTGAGGTCAGGAGTTCAAGACCAGCCTGGACAACATGGTGAAACCCCAGCTCTACTAAAAATACAAAATTAGCCGGGCGTGGTGGTGCATGCCTGTAATCCCAGTTACTTTGGAGGCTGAGGCAGGGAATCACTTGAATCTGGGAGGCAGAAGTTGCAGTGAGCCAAGATTGCACCATTGCACTCCAGCCTGGGCAACAAGAGCGAAACTCCATCACAAAAAAAAAAATTTTGGCCGGGCACGGTGGCTCAAGCCTGTAATCCCAGCACTTTGGGAGGCCGAGACGGGCGGATCACGAGGTCAGGAGATCGAGACCATCCTGGCTAACACGGTGAAACCCTGTCTCTACTAAAAAATACAAAAAAACTAGCCGGGTGAGGTGGCGGGCGCCTGTAGTCCCAGCTACTCAGGAGGCTGAGGCAGGAGAATGGCGTGAACCCGGGAGGCAGAGCTTGCAGTGAGCTGAGATCCGGCCACAGCACTCCAGCCTGGGTGACAGAGCGAGACTCCGTCTCAAAAAAAAAAAAAAAAATTTTTACCCTTCAGGCCGGGTGCAGTGGCTCACACCTGTAATCCCAGCACTTTGGGAGGCCGAGGTGAGTAGATCACCTGAGGTCAGGAGTTCGAGACCAGCCTGGCCAACGTGGTGGAACCCCGTCTCTTACTAAAAATATAAAAATCAGCCGGGTGTGGTGGCACACACCTGTAATCCCAGCTACTCGTGAGACTGAAACAGGAGAATCACCTGAATCAGGGAGGCGGAGGTTGCAGTGAGCCGAGGTTGTGCCACTGCACTCCAGCCTGGGTAACAGAGCGAGACTCTGCCTCAAAACAAAACAAAACAAATTTTACCTTCCAGTGAAGAGAAGATAATATCAAACACAGAAATGTGTAATGTATATTGATGTGCTGAGTATGCTGAGAAAGGCAAATGTGTTTTTCTGTTTAGAAATTGGACTTTTAAAACTTTTTATTTAACTACAATACAAAATCTACAGCACAGAAGGAATATGAATATATGAATAATCTCTTTTAAAATACTAATTCCTTTTCTTTTTTTTTTCTTTTAATTTGAGACGGAGTGTTGCTCTTGTTGCCCAGACTGGAGTGCAATGCATGATCTCGGCTCACCGCAACCTCTGCCTCCCATGTTCAAGTGATTCTCTGGCCTTGGCCTCCCCAGTAGCTGGGACTACAGACATGCGCCACCACGCCCAGCTAATTTTTTTTTTTTTTTTTTTTGCATTTTTAGTAGAGACAGGGTTTCTCCATTTTGGTCAGGCTGGTCTCGAACTCTTGACCTCAGGTGATCCACCCGCCTTGGCCTCCCAAAGTGCTGGGATTACAGGCGTGAGCCACTGCGCCCAGCCGATACTAATTCTTTTTCATGACCTCAAATGAACAAAAATACTCAAAAAGCTGCTATGTATAGATGTTCTCTAGCAGAGGTTGGCCAACTATGGCCTGACAGCCATGTCCAACCTGCTTCCTGCTTTTGTACAGTCCACAGCTAATTATGCTTTGTACATTTTTAATGGCTAGAAAAAAATTTTAGTATTTTGTGACACACAAAAGTATATGAAATTCATATTTCAGTGTCCATGAGTAAAACTTTATTGGAGGCCGGGCATGGTGGCTCACACCTGTAATCCTAGCACTTTGGGAGGCCGAGGTAGGCGGATCACAAGGTCAGGAGATCGAGACCATCCTGGCTAACACGGTGAAACCCCGTCTCTACTAAAAATACAAAAAATTAGCTGGGCGTGGCAGTGGGTGCCTGTAGTCCCAGCTACTTGGGAGGCCAAGGCAGGAGAATGGCGTGAACCTGGGAGGCAGAGTTTGCAGTGAGCCGAGATCGTGCCACTGCACTCCAGTCTGGGCAACAGAGCAAGACTCTGTCTCAAAAAAAAAAAAAAAAAAAAAAAACTTTATTGGAATACTGCCATGCTTATTCATTTATCTACTGTCTGTGGCTGCTTTTACACTATAACAGAGTAGTCAATGACAAGAGACCATTCTCATCACTTGCCACTGCTGCTATCCGTTACAAATCATAGCTACACTTTGTAACTTGGCAGCATTTTGAGTAGCATGCATAATGCCATACCTTGAAATTTTATTTATTTTTATTACTAGCATATATCCATCATGTTAAAAAAAAAAAAAAAAGATAGGTGTGGTGGCACACACTGTAGTCCCAGTTACTCAGAGGGTAAGGCAGCAGGATCAATTGAGGCCAGGAGTTCAAGGCTGCAGGAAGCTATGGTCACACCACTGCACTCCAGCATGGGTAACGGTAGGCCTTGTCTCTAAAAACAAAAAACTGAGAGAGAGAGAGAGAATTGGACTTAAAATATCTCATCTCTAAGGTACAGTGAAGCATGGATTATTTTATCAAATTCGATGGCAAAGCATGGTGCTTATTATGCAAATGAAACTATATATGTGCTAAAAGAATGCCATATGTTAATATTATTAGAATAAGCAGTCATCATAATATTCCCAAATTACAGAAAATCAGTCAGAAAACGTAAAAAGAAATTAAAGAGTGTGTCAACACAGAATTTCCTTACAAAAGAAAGTGAGGCTGCAACTAAAGTAAGTTTTCAAGTGCCTCATTTGTTAGCCTAGCAAGAAAAGTCATTTATTACAGCATGTTAATTAAATGTTTGATTGAAGTGGCTGAAGAACTGTATACTTGTCCAGGTGTAGTGACTCATGCTGTAATCCCAGCACTTTGGGAGGCCAAGGCAGGAGGATCACTTGAGACCAGGAGTTCAAGACCAGCCTGGACAACATAGCAAGACCCTGTCTTTTAAAAAGAATTAATAAAATTTTAATTAAAAAATTAAAATTTAAAAAATTAAATTAAAAAAAAATTTTTAATTAAAAAAGAAAAACTTGCTTAAAAGCATTAGCCTTTAGGTGAAAACAGCTGCTTAAAGTGTTAAGGACACAGGAAACAACATCAATAGTAAAACAAGGCAAGTTAGTCACATGAGGTAGCCTATGCCTGTAGTCCTAGCTACTAAGGGAACTGAGTCAGCCCAGGAGTTCAAAGCCTGGCAACACAGGAGATCCCAACACTGAAAAAAAAAATTTTTGTTTTTAATTAGGAAAAAAAAAGCAAGGCAAGTGACTTTGAATGGTTTTTCTTAGCTTGTACTGAATTGACAGGTGTTGTTGATGTTGCTCATTTGTACTATATATTCAAGGAGTCAATGATTGAATTGACTGAATAATTAGCTCCAGAAACAGGTGAGAACATTTTTAAAGAAGGTGAAAAAACACTAATTAAGTATACCTGAAGTAGAATATCTGCTATATTGCAACTGATGATATAAAAAGAGAAAGGCTTAGCTTGACAAATTTACAATGCTTATGAAAATGTAAGGTGTTTAAATCCTGTGGTTATAACATCATTGGATTATTAAAAAACAGATAGTTTGTGGAAAACATTTGAACTTACCATGTACAGGTATTATTGAATCTGCAGTATCAATGATAAAATTAATTCATCCTCATGGACTTAACTGTTGTCAGTCCATGAATTTTTGGTCAAAATAGCAGAATATCCTACCTTGCCCTGCCACACAGCATTTGATGACTTAGCAGTGATAACATTTTATTGTGATTTTTTTAAAGCAAAGATTGAAATTTTTCTAAATGAAAAGAATTTCTCTTAACCACTGTTACCTTTACAAATCACAAGACCTATAAATTTAGAAAGAAGACTTTATGTTTTATAAAGGCTTACAGCCAGCCGGGCACGGTGGCTCATGCCTGTAATCCCAGCACTTTGGGAGGCTGAGGCAGGTGGATCACCTGAGGTTGGAGTTCGAGACCAGCCTGGTCAACATGGTGAAAGCCCATCTCTACTAAAAATACACAAAATACAAAAAAAAAAAAAAAATTAGCTGGGCATGGTGGCAGGTGCCTGTAATCCCAGCTACTCGGGAGCCTGAAACTGGGAAGAGGAGGTTGCAGTGAGCCGAGATTGTGCCATTGCACTGCAGCCTGGGAGACAAGAACAAAACTCCATCTCAAAACAAAACTCCATCTCAAAACAAAACAAAAGAAAGGCTTACAGCCTGCAAGGTGTCCATCCCATAGGCTGAGAAGAATAGCCTCCAGAGAGACTGGAGACGGGGACTTCAAAGGAGGAGTGGTTGGGGTAGGAGCTTTATGCTGAACAGTTTCGTTAAACGTACACATTCAACAGGTTACTGGAGAAACTCTGAATATTTATAAAGGTGATCCTGACACATAGGTATTGAACAAACATGCATGTAACATATGACCGATGTTCACTTTGGAGTGGAGATTTAATACTTAAATGTATTATAATTAGGTCCTATACGTCAAAAGCTCTTTTGAATACATGAAGTCATGCAAGTGTGCAGCCTCTGCAAGCTTCCCAGAATCAGTCCATGGTTGGCGGTCTTATCAGGAGAAAGTTACTGAAATCAGTCTCTTATCCAATCAAAGCTGGTGGAACAAAGATCAGTTACTCAGTGTCTGATGGTGAGCTACGGTTGTTTTAATATTGCTTATCTCTAGGCCAGTGATGGTTTAGCTGTTATAGAAAAGGAAAAACCCTGGGGCAGTTAGAACACAGTTTATTATTTAAGTGTGGGGATATATGACTTAACTCTTACCTGGCATGGCCTGGGGTCTTGTTTTTGATATCTTATTGACACAAAAAGTCCATTCTGTCAGTCTTAGGATCTTCTCTTCTTTAACATCAATGCTGATCAGTTGTCGTGTCTAAACTCCAAAAGGGAGGGAGTGTAATGAGGCATGTCTAACCTCCTGTCCTGTTACGATTAGGAACTTCATTTTAAAGGGTTTTCTGGGGTCCCCTTGGCCATGAGGGTACGTTCATGCAGTTGGCAGAGGGCTCAGGATTTTATTTTTAGTTTACACCACTGACTGAATGACTTTGAAATTCATTTTTGCTAGTTTGCTAATTTTGATGATTTAATGATACTTCCTAATAAAGTCAACATAAATTACAAAGCAAACCCGTACTGACACGCAAAACTTACTGTGATGAAGTCATTTTGACAACCAACATTATTTGAGTCACAAGTTAAAACAAAAAGCAAGCTCTCTATCCTCACATAAGTTTGCAGCGGTTATATTTTTCAAGTTCAAACTACAGTTTTAATGGTATTTTGCAGAGCTCTGCAAACACAAAGGAAATTTCCATATTTCAAAATCCATTTAACTGTGCAATTGAGGAGCTTCCACCTAACCATCAGTTAGAAATGATTCATCTGACATGCTAAAAGGCAGATATGAAGAGAATAATGTGCTTCTGTAATTGTTTTCCAAGAGAATAATATACTTAATTTAAATCATATGCCCTTGGGTTGACATCATATTGGGCAGTGCCTGTATGTATGAAAATATATTTTTCAAAGATAAAATCTGTAAAATTTCATTACAGATCATGATTGACAGATGAACATTTGCAATAGATTTTGATAGGGAATAAGAACTTTGAAACCTAATTAAGAAAAATGTTATTCTCCATCTCCCCACACAAAAAGAATTTCATTCTTCTGGTTAGCATACCTGATTTACAAAAACTTGTACTCAGTATTATTATATTTTGAATTTCATCAGTGAAAATGTTGTGGAAATTAGTTTTCCGTTTTTCTACAAGTATCTACATAATATCTTCAATTTTGCCCCTTAGCTCATAAAGCCTAAAATATTTACCTTCTGCCCTTTATAGAAAAAGTTTACTGATTCTTATTCTACGGAAAGTAAAATCTAAGTAAGAAGTTAGACAGTGGAAGAGAAGAAAGATTTTCAGCTTGGGCACAGGAGAAAGAACCAATGGGGTATGTAAAAACTAAGCTATCATTCCATACCAAATCATATTTTTAAACCATGTTTTGGCCAGGCACAGTAGCTCACATCTGTAATCCCAACACTGGGAGGCTGAGGTGGGAGGATTGCTTGAAGCCAGGAGTTGGAAACCAGCCTGAGCAACAAAGCTAAACCCTTACCTCTACAAAAAATAAAACTAGGCCAGGAGAGGTGGTTCACGCCTGTAATCCCAGCACTTTGGGAGGCCCAGGTGGGTGGATCACGAGGTCGGGAGATCGAGACCATCCTGGCAAACACGGTGAAACCCCGTCTCTACTAAAAATACAAAAAAAAATTAGCCGGGCGTGGTGGCGGGTGCCCGTAGTCCCAGCTTCTCGGGAGGCTGAGGCAGGAGAATGGCGTGAACCCGGGAGGCGGCGAAGCTTGCAGTGAGCGGGGATCGCGCCACTGCACTCCAGCCTGGGCAACAGAGCGAGACGCCGTCTCAAAGAATGAATGAATGAATGAATGAATGAATGAATGAATGAATAAATGAAAATAAAAATAATTAGCTAGGCACATGCTACTTGAGAGGCTGAGGTGGGAGGATCGCTTGAGCCCAAGAATTTGAGGCTGCAGTGACCTGGGATCTGTCCACTGCATTCCAGCTGGGCAACAGAGGGAGACACTGTCTCAAAACAACAACAAAAACAAACCAAAAAAAACCCACCATGTTTTCTTGCACTTGCCTTTCTGAGCCAATCAGTAATACCAATTTCTTCCAGAAGATGTCTCCCTTTATCTTCCCTGAGTAATAGGAAAAATTTCAAACATACATAAAAATTCGAAAAATTGTGCAATGAACATTCATTTACCTACACTTTGATTCTATGTTTTGGGGGTGATTGGGGAGACAGGGTCTGACTCTATCACCTAGGCTGGAGTACAGTGGTGTAATTAAGGCTCACTGCAACTTCTGCCTCCTGGGCTCAAGTGATCCTCCCAAATCAGGCTCCTGAGTAGCTAGGACTACAGGGAGCACGCCATAACACCCAGTTAATTTTTTTTTTTTTTTTTTTTAGATGGAGTCTCGCTCTGTCGCCCAGGCTGGAGTGCAGTGGCGCAATCTGGGTTCACTGCAAGCTCCGCCTCCTGGGTTCACGCCATTCTCCTGCCTCAGCCTCCAAGGTAGCTGGGACTACAGGCGCCGGCCACCACGCCTGGCTAATTTGTTTGTATTTTTAGTAGAGATGGGGTTTCATCGTGTTTACCAGGATGGTCTCGATCTCCTGACCTCATGATGCACCTGCCTCGGCCTCCCAAAGTGCTGGGATTACAGGCATGAGCCACTGCACCCGGCCCACACCCAGCTAATTTTTGTATCCATCTATCCATACATCAGTCATTTATCAGTCATTTATGGTGGTGCTTTTTTTGTTTGTTTGTTTGTTATGACACAGGGTCTGGCTCTGTCACCCAGGCTGGAGTGCAGTGGCACGATCTTGCGATCTTGGCTCACTAAAACCTCCTCTTCTGGACTCAAGCCATCCTCCCACCTCAGCCTCCCAAGTAGCTGGGACTGTAGGTATACACCACCACACCTGGCTAATTTTTGTATTTGTTGTAGAGATAAGGTTCCATCATGTTCCTCAGGCTGGTCTCCAACTCCTGGACTCAAGCCATCCACCCACCTCAGCCTCCCAAAGTGCCGCACTGGGCCCACTATATTTTTTAGTGGACAAGTACATCTCTCCCTAAATACTTCAGCATGTATTTCATTAGCTAGTGTTCAATATTTATTTAGTTTCCTTTCTGCTGAAGTAAAATTTACATACACTGAAATTTTCAAATCTTAAATGAGTATCACCTGAGTTTGACAAACTGTATTATTAAACTAAAACTCATCAAGATATAGAAAACTGGCCGGGTGCAGTGTCTCACACCTGTAATCCCAGCACTTTGAGGGGCTGAGGCTGGTGGATCACATGAGGCTAGGAGTTCGAGACCAGGCTGGCCAACATGGTGAAACCCAGTCTCTACTAAAAATACAAAAATTAACTGGGCCTGGTGGCAGGTGCCTGTTATCCCAGCAACCTGGGAGGCTGAGGCAGGAGAATCGCTTAAACCTGGGAGGCAGAGGTTGCAGTGAGTCGAGACTACGCCATTGTACTCCAGCTTGAGCAACAAGAGCGAAACTCCTTCTCAAAAAAAAAAAAGATATAGAAAATTATTATTCACATGGGAAGTTCCCTCCTACCCCTTTCCAGTTAGTCCTTCCCTTCTAGATAAAGGCAACCAGTGTTCTGATTTTTTCCCCCACCATAGGTTATTTTGCATAATGTAGAATTTGATATATATGGAATCATATGGTATGTACTTTTAATGTAAGTCTTTCAATTAATATAATGTCTAAGACTCATCCATGTCGTGTAAATCAACAGTTCATTCTACTTTATTGTTAAGTAGTAGTACATTGATATGTATTATAGTTTGCTTATATATTCACCTATTAATGGGCGCCTAAGCTGTTCCCCGTATGTGTCTATTATGAATACAGCTGCTATAAGTATGGGGAATTTTTTCCCGTATTTTTTTAATTACAAAGTAATACAAGTGGTTCTTACTTTATTTTTCAGGACTGAATTGTGGGACATAAATTAATCCCAAGACACATAATAATTGTTTGAAACTTTTTATCATGGAAAAGTAGTTTAAAAGTATATAATAATATAGAGACTATTTTAATGAACCCTGGTACCTAATATCCAGCTTCAACCATTATCCACTTCTGGCCACCATCTCTCTTCCCTTCCCTTCCCTTCCCTCTTCCCCCTTCCCTCCCCTTTCCCCCTTCCCTCCCCTTCCCCCTTCCCCCTTCCCTTCCCCCTTCCCTTCCCTTCCCTTCCCTTCCCTTCCCAAGACACAGTTTTACTCTTGTTGCCCAGGCTGGAGTACAATGGTGCGCTCTCAGCTCACTGCAACCTCTGCCTACCGGTTCAAGCAATTCTCCTGCCTCAGCCTCCCAAGTAGCTGGGATTACAGGTGTGTGCCACCATGACCAGCTAATTTTTGTATTTTTAGTAGCGATGGGGTTTCACCCTGTTGGCCAGGCTGGTCTCAAACTCCTGACCTCAAGTGATCCTCCCGCCTCGGCCTCCCAAAGTGCTAGGATTACAGGCATGAGCCACCATGCCTAGCCCTTTATTTATTTATTTAAATATCTATTTATTTATCTATTTATTTATTTATTTATTTTTAGAGACAAGGTTCCATTCTGTTGTCTAGGCTTGAGTGTATGATCTTAGCTCCAGTGTGGCCAGGCTGGTGTCAAACTCCTGACCTCAAGTGATCCGCCCTCCTCAGCTTCCCATAGTGCTAGGATTACAGGCGTGAGGCACCATGCCTAGCCCGCCCCCCTCCCTCCCTCCTTCCCTGCACCCTCCCTCCCTCCCTCCCTTCCTGCCTTCCTTCCTTCCCTTTCCTTTCCTTTCTTTCTCTCTCTCTCTCTCTCTCTCTTTCTTTCTTTCTTTTTAGAGACAAGGTCTCATTCTGTTGTCTAGGCTAGAGTGTATGATCTTAGCTCCAGTGCAGCCTGCAGTTCTTCGGCTCATGCAATTTTGTAGAGATGAGTCTCACCGTGTTGCCCAGGCTCATCTTGAACTCCTGGCTTAAAGCAGTTCTCCCACCTCAGCCTCCCAAAGCACTGGGATTACAGGAATGAGCTATCCTACCCACGAATCATTTTTCATAAATGACTTACACACAGTATTAGCCAGGGTTCTCCAGAGGGCCAGAACCAATAGGAGATATCTATATCTATATATCTCTATATAGAGAGAGATACATAGATATAGATATATGGGGATTTTATTAGGGGGAATTGGCTTACACAATCACAAAGGTGAAGAAGTCTCACTAACAGGGTGTCCAAAAACTGGAGAACCAGA